TTTATATACAGGGTGCAATGAGTAGAATGCTGGGATTTTATATTTTTAATTTCACACATGCACATTATTTTTGAATTTGTGGACTACATAGGGTCAGTTGGGCACCAACTGTGAGAAAAAGAGCACCATGATGCAATTCACTCTGACAGAAATTTGGATATGGCATGCTATACTGCTTGGCATTCATGCCAGAAAATCCAATACAAATATTTCAGAGTGTTTAGGTATTAATCCGGGGACAGTGCAGATGATTCAGAAAGAGTTACCCCAAACCATGAAGGATCAGCGGAAAGACAGCACTATAAAGCTTTTGAAACAACTCAAGCATTTCTTCCAACAAAAAATGCTCCTAAAGAAGAAATAATTGACTTGCTGTGTCCTCAAAAGATGTATTAAAAGTGATGTAAACAAATTATTGAGTCAACATTATCGTGTTTGGAGTGATCACAAGTGATGATGTTGTTATGCCTCCAGTCATCTTCCCACAGGGCCTTGAAGAGTTAGTGCTGCTCTGGGCCAAGATGCTAACTGCTGGAAGACCCTATGTCTGGTAACAGAACACAACAACATGCCACACAAGCAGTAGAACCCAGTCATGGCTGTCAGGCAATTTCTGCAACCACATCACCCATTACATATTCCCACCTAACTCCCCAGACTGCAACACCACTTTGATTATTACATGTGGGACACAGTTGAGTGAGTGACCAACAAGTGTGCAAATTCCTCTTTTGGTGTAATTTCACATTTTCTTATCATCTCTCAGTTGCGTCTCTGTCCTTGGACAGAGTGCGCTCAGGGGCTTCTCTGTCAAAGGACAGAGGGGCAACTGAGGAAAATTATACTGAAGAGGTGCCCAGCCCTGGGAAACAGCTGCCCAAGGCCACGCCCTCCCATTGAACAAGAGGGAGGGATCGGTGCTCGCACCGAGGCCAGCGCAACTGATGGTTGCGGGGGCTGAGGGTAATTTTTGTTCCTGCCCGAGTGTACACGCTCAGGTCCCCACATTAATCCGACCTTGTGTCACATCTCATTCTTGTGGGGGAATGAGTAAACACCATGAGTGACCAACAAAACTCCTTGTAATACCAAAGATGAACTGAAGCCAAGGATTATGGCCACATTCATCAACATCAAAAAGGAGATCATTCCAAAAAGTTGCAGGAGATTCTGAAGTGATCTGGTGGCTGTGGTTGAAGCCAATGTTGATTTTACTGAATAAATTTACTCTTTAGTATTTCAAGATATTTTTGTGTAATTTTGGTAAATATATATGTTAAGATGATGTAACAGTGTTATTTTCAATTTGGCCCAATTTAGATGACACTTTATCCATCGCACCATACATATATATATATATTAGTGTGTAAGATAGCTCTTCAAATGAAAGAGAAACTTTGCAAATTTATGTCTGCACATTTTGCAGCTCAAATAAAGAGAATTTTTGACACACATTAAAATGTTTTTCTTATGATTAACACAAATTGAAAAAGATACATCTTTCCTATCAAATGATTTTTGAAATCATTCAACATATACAAGACTCCATTACAAACTTATATACTAATCAAATAATGAATTTAAAAAAATAAACAAACATGGAAACACTGAATAAATGAAATATGCAAAAAGAATCTTTTATTTAGAAAGCTTCTAAAAGTGAACACACAAACAATATAGTAGCCAGCTTCATAAACAGTGCACATCTTTTATTTTTTATCGTGTACATGTGTGTAGGTGTATACAATGGAGTGGGGGAGGATGTTTAATCAGAAATCATTTGTTTAATACAAGAGATAATGAATGTTAATATAAATTTTTACTTACAAAAGCTTATATATATATATATATATATATATATATATATATATATATATATATATATATATATATATACATACATACATACACACATACATACATATATATATATATATATATATATATATATATATATATATATATATATATATATATATGATAAAATATAGTTTTAAGGTATGTAATATTTATGGATTAAAGTGCTCAATAACGGGATAGACCATATGTAAATATAAAATTTCACATTGAAGTCAACACTCAAGCGGCAACAGTCTGTTTCTTGCTAAACACAATTGCCAAGCTATTTCTCTTATTATTTCACAATCAGTTACATCTTATTGACTTTATTGCTTTGCTTGGTTTGAAATGATATATATATATATATATATATATATATATATATATATATATATATATGCATTCTCCAGTCACTTTTTTAGGTATACTCTTCTAGTAATGTATTTGATTTCTCAATTTTCTGGAAATACTCTTTTAAATTAAGGTTCATGCCAGTATTATGGTACCCCTTAATTCTTCTTGATTAGTTTGATGCACATCCAGGATTTGAAACTCTCTTTCCACTACATCCCAAAAGTGATCTTTGAGATTGAGATCCATTAACTGTGAAAGCCACTTTAATACAGACAACTCATTTCTATGTTCCATCAACCAATCTACCACTATTTTTTTTTTACTTGAGACACAATGTGTAATTTTTTTTGTACTTATATTCACCCAATGCAGGGCCTAAGTGTCATTCAAAGTAGAGGGTTACTGTATGATTCTGTATGAGTATAAGGGTTGACAAGAAATGAGGTCAAGATCCTACCAGGAGTCAGTTCTACAAAACAGAATTTCTTACAAAAATGCTGTCAGAGTGGAACTTCTTTCTTACTAATGGAATACAAAGGGAATGAGGAAGAATGTTGATGATTCATCCTTGTATACATGGTATGGTGGATCCAAGCCATGAAGGTCAAGGCTTGTGGAATTGAAGAATGTAGCTCGTCAGAACACTTGCCATAAAAATAACAATTGAGTAGTGAGAGACTGTGAGAAATGAGTTTCAGGGTGGGAAAAATTCTTCACCTGCAAGGCCACATAGATGCTTTTGAACTCTATCAAGACAGTCAAGTGGGGACTGAGAAACTCCAGCACAAATATGACAGTAATTCTCCATTTTTCGTCTAATCTTGCTCTTGTAAAGACAGAGTATAAAAGAGAGAGTCCAATTCTTACTGGAGTGATAAAATGTACCAAACATTTTTCTTGCATCTTTAGCAATAAATCGTATATGTGTTCTGGACACTGATTATAAATGGAGGCACATGGTCAGAGAGCCTGCAGCATTTAAAAAACTTTTTGTTGTTGCCAAACATCTCTGTATGTCATGACAATATTCACCATACTATTGATACAAGCCAATGTGGATCCAAGCTTTCATTTGTTTTTTTTGATAAATTATGTCCCTACCATATATATGCTGGAACTGAAAACAAAATTCATCAAATGAGACTAAATTTTTTCCTATCTTCTATTGTAAAATTTTTCTTTTTTTTCTCCAGTTTCTTATAATTATCTGACAGGAGTGGCACCTAGTGGTGGGGTCTGCATCAAGTTGGGCACTTTGAGGCGGTGTAATGGTTAGCAAGCTTGTCTCACTAGAACAATTATGATTGAGTAGTGAGTTTGATCCTCACTGGCTATACCCCCTACATTCAGCCTTGTGCTACATCTAAGCTACGCTTGAAAAATCACTACATCTGCATCAAACTTCAGCATGTGTGTTCAAAGATGATTTTCTATATATCTCTTTTGTCATGAGTTTTATTTGAGTTATATTGCTCTTCTAATTGCATGAACTAATCCAACAATTCTCTGTCAATCAACAAGAGATTTCTGCCCACTCAGGAAATTCTCAAAAAAGGATTTCTGCCCAGACATGGATTTCTCATAAAGGGATTTCTGCCCAGACACAGATTTCTCAAAAGGGGATTTCTGCCTGCTCAGAAATTTGAAAATTTGCAATCCAAATTTGTGAAGCTCTGATTTGGGAAGATAAGTTGAAGATATAATTTTATTTATTACTATTAATGCTTTATCTTTTAATATTGAGCACTTTAATTACAAGGACAGCTTGCCTTAAAAATGTTATCCTTTAGAAATAAACCAGTTAATATTTATCTTTGATGAAACAAAATCTTTGTCATTATATATATATATATATATATATATATATGTGTGTGTGTGTATATATGTTTGTGTGTGTGTGTATATATATAATTTATTACATATATATATATATATATATATATATATATGTGTGTGTGTGTGTGTGTATATATGTTTGTGTGTGTGTGTGTATATATATAATTTATTACATATATATATATATATATATATATATATATATATATATATGTGTGTGTATATATGTTTGTGTGTGTGTGTGTATATATATAATTTATTACATATATATATATATTTATATATAAAATAATCTTCAGGTGAAATATATATATATATATATATATATATATATATATATATATATATATATATATATATATATATGAAAGATATATAAAATAAATATATGCATATATTTAATTCATTTGTTTTATTTGTGATATTTATATATATGATATAGGTCATTTTAATAAGTTATATATTTTTAATATATGTATTTCTTGTGAATATTAAATTCCATTATAATTATGTAGATATTATAGAAGGAAATGATGCCATAAAATTTTTCAGTAATAAAATATAGCAATATTGAACAGCAATTTTTTAGTAACTTTTCTGGGGAATAATTGACATCACATTTTCATTTTTGGAAATAATCTCTTTCAAAATGATCCGGAAAGACAAAAAAAAAATAAAGCAGTAAACGAATGTAGCCAAGTCAGTGACAGGTGTTAAGTATTTATTTTCTATTTTGTCTTCTGATTTCAAGTTTTATGAGAATATATTTTTCAAAGAATATTATCAATCTCATGTTTTTTATGTTATATTTTTTTTTTTTAATAAAAGAAATGCATATTTAGGTTATGAAGCTGGTAGGTAAAGGAAGGTAAAGAAATAAGAGGAAATGATGATAGGTTTATTTAAAAATGATTTTTTTTTCAACAGAGGAAATTACTATGACATGTAGGGGTAATAGAAAAAATCGGATCTCAAGTAATTTTTGACTGAACAAGAATGGGAAGGAAAATAAGGAATTCAAAAACTTTAAGAAAAAATGCAAGTCAAATTGTTCACAAAAGAAATACTTACCATTCATCTCCTCTTCTTCACACATAGCATGGATACCGACACGGATATTTTGGATTCTGGAAATTCTGGATTGACAAAAATAAGATTATATTTTAAAATGGTAATATATATAGTATAAGAGAAATAAGATTATAAGATATTATATGGTAATAAGATTATATTTTAAAATGGTAATATATATAGTATAAGAGAAAATACACACACACATAGATAGATAGATATATGACTTGTGTGTACATTACTTGCTTAGTATTATTTTGTCCTGTATATTTTCTTCCTTTCGTTATTGTTTATTGAGAACTTTGTCAATTGCATTTGTTGTGAATTTTGCCAATTTTACTTAACCATGGCCAATTACTCCACAATCACAAGAACTTCTGCCACTACTATTATAATGCTTTTCATAATACTTTACTTTGCAATTAGATGTCGTGATTGAGTCAATTAACCCAATTTAGTATGTTCCTGATCGCAGCAATAATAAGTATATTAAGAAAAAAAAGAAATTCTCAACTTTAAGTGTCAGCTTTATGTTGAAATTTATCAAAAGTTACAAATTAAAAAGGAAGACCTACTCTCCACGACTTGAAAAGGCTGAGCATTTTCCATCGAGCCACGAACAGTAAGGATCTTGGAGTGCCACGCATTCTCTGCAAAGGGAACAAAAATAAAAAAATGATTTAAGTTTAAATGCAAAATGATAATTATTTTGCCACTGAAGTTTACACTTATTTTGTTGTCTATCTTATGTGTCTCACAAGGTAACTGTATTTTACAAGCATGTAACTTTATAGTTGTTAATGGCATTTATAATAATAACCATTCTGATTGGACCATTTGAAATATGATCATATTTTTAAACCAATCATAAAGTAACGTTTTTACTGCTTAATACAAATTGCATCTGACCAATGATTAAGTAAAAGTATACAAACTAAATGCCCAATCAATTATAAGAATAATGGCTGAAATTTTAACAAAAAGTCAATTTGTGAAAATTCATAGAAAAAAATATTATAAATATGTACTCTTCAGATAGATGCATATGATTCTATGAATAATGCACTTGTGAAAAACTGATGAATGGCTCAACAAAAAGAATTATTATGAAAACAAAAATAACAAAAGAATTGATGTTATTAAAAAAAAGTCTTGTGGAATTATCTGTTATAAGAATTTATGAAAATAATAAGGATGAGATAATGACATCTTAATTTATTCCAAGAGTGGCTGTGAATGTAGGCATTGCTATATATATATATATATATATATATATATATATATATATATATATATATATATATCAAGAACAATAATAATTATGTCTTAATAATAGTCTTGGTTTATTCCAAGAGACACTGTGAATATGAGAATTGCCACACATATATATATATATATATATATATATATATATATATATATATATAAAGAAATGGACAAGGTCCGACAATTTATTTATTAAAGACATTTTTATATAAAAAACAACGTTAAACATAAAATGTCTTTAATAAATATATATATATATATATATATATATATATATATAAACATAAACACACATTTACATATATATATATATATATATTTGATGTTCTTGTCTATTGATTTTACTATGCACATATAGAGATTGCCCAAGAGAAATAAGGAAAAAGGATTAATCTTATAAGTTTTCTTTTTTTATCCTTACTGTTTTTATAACTTTTACTCCTGCTGATTAGCAATTAAACCAAGAATGATCATAAGATTCAAGTTAAAATTTCTTGCAATTATGATAATCATTCCACAAAAAATATTGGATAATATTTAAGAAAAGAATATGGACTTGCCTGCAGGTTACTTTTAAGTGGCATCGATGAAGAGGAATTGACACAACATCTTCACTGGAGACAACAATGAGTTTCTCCAGCCCAAATTTATGGTAGACTTGAAGGCCTACAATTGTGCTCTTATCTTTGAAAACCAGCAGTTCTTCAATAACAATACTTCGCATTTTTCCATTCTGTTCAATATTTACGACTTTAAGAACATGGCCATCATCTGAAAATAAAGACAAAAATGAGTAGTTTCTTAAAAATATTATGAAATAATTGTATTTCTAATATCTGTCAAGAATAAGGCTAACCATTTTAAATGTACTGAGAACCGGTTGTATGGCCATGATATAACTTGTTAACCAATCAAAGGGGAACTTGCTGTAAATTTTAACAGGCACACTTCTGTAGGGTTACTCAGTAGGCAATGAGCTTGTCTACTGTGTGAATGTGTGAATGTTGCATCCACAATGGCTGCGTGTGTAGATTCTTTATATTTAATGACTTTTTTGTTAAATATCGCATCATCTAAGACAGGCAGACACCTCAGTCCAGATTTTGCTTCCTGTCTGGCTTTTCCTAAAGCTAAAATCACTATTGAAACACTGCAGATGAGATTAAATAGAAGGTGATGATGCAACTGTTGGTAATTATAGAAGAGGATTTTGTAGATTATTTTGAAAAGTCAAAGAAATCCTGAAATACATTTAGGAGAAACCAAAGAGGAATAATTTTCAGGGAACTCAAACAACATTTATTTAGACTACATTTCCACTGTTGTAGATGTACATCTTTACAAAACTTACTTTTCTTATACCCTTTCTATAAATATTTTCATGGCAATTGTTCTGACAAGCTTTCCTCTTTGGTACATCAATTTTACAAATTTGAGTGCAGATGGGTAGCAAGATCTCATCACTTTACAGATGACATTGCTTAAGTTCTATGCTAATGTTTTCTTTACAATTCTTGCTTGTGGAACTCTCTCCTGGCTTCTTGCATTCCAGTCAACTTTGATCTTCAAAAATTTAAATGCAATGTCAATCAATATTTTCTGCCTTCTAAATTCCTGTTCTTTTATTGTTCTCTTCCCTTAATAGTGTTTTTCTTTGTCTCATATCCTTTCATGCTCACTAAACCCTTGCATCTTAGTAGCTTTATTGCTTTGCTTGGGGGAAATGATTGTTTTAAACTTATCTTTCAACATAATTTATTTGTTAAATTTTGTTGCTTTTGATAGAATTGATTTGTTAAATTTTGTTTAACAAGTTGTAGATATAAATGTTGTCAATATTAAAAGTAGAGGAAATAATTTACGTCAATTTTTTTTTTGAATACAACAGGTTTAAGTTAAATAAATTTCAGTTAGTTGATTCTTTGTTTTTTTTTTTTCATTCAAGATGGTAACAGAGAGCCAAAATGAATGAGATAATCAATACATACTTGTTCCAATGAAGAGAATATCATAATATCGTCCATCCACTGCCAGGTACTGTTCGTGTACTGCAATGCGTGTGAACCGATAACTGAAACAGATGATGATCAGTTTAATCAATAAGAATTAAAAAATTAAGAAACTTAATTAGAATCAATCAAATTCTTTTTGCACAAATTTTAACTGATTGGATTTTAATGGAAAAATTTAATCAAATTTCAGTAAAACTTGATGATTGCCAAAATCGGTTTGGTTTTTCAGGCAGTAAAATGTCAAAGTGCAGGGAGGTAGGGGTGTCTGTAATTATGGCATTCCAGGTTTCTTACGAGCAGATTGAATAAGGATTTGCTAGTTTGAATCAAGTTAATAAATATAAAACAGTAAAGGTCTGCTCTTTCAGTTTTCAAAATTCATTAATTGTGGATGTGCTAATAGTGTAACCATTTTCAGCACTAAAACTGCAATTGGTGGATTTAATTCAAATTCCAGCCTAGTCACTTTGTTCAATTTTCACTAAAGACAATAGTAATATTAACCTATCTACAAAGAAGTATATGGCAATCAATGACAGAGCAGCCAGTACTACTATTGCTTGAAATTTATAAAATCTTTCTCTTTAAGTATCATAGCCTGATGGGTGTAGGTTTTCTATCAGAGTTTTCTTCTCCTATGCTGTCTCATTGAATGACTATACTAACAGTATGGCAAAACTGAGTAGATTGAATATATGGCACTAGTTTCATTATAAATGTTGTAATTTATTTATTTATTTTCTCCTATTAAATTTTAACTTGGTATCAGTTCTACAAGTTCTTTTAATATTTTACATCTTCCTCACTTCACCATGTTGGAATCTGGTTGACAGTTTCAAATTTATATATACATAAAAGTATAGTTTTCTGTGTTAGTCATTTATCAGTAATATTAGCTGTTTCCTTATAAGGAAACATTCAGCATTCATTGACCAAGCAACCATTACTGCTATAGATTGAAATTTATAAAATCTTTGTCTCAGAACAATTTTTTCAGAAAAATAAGTTTCTCAAATCCAGTAGCTGTTATCGCTCTACTTGTACCTGTAATGGCATTCACCTGAGGTGGGTTGAGCTGGCTGCAATATTGGAGTTTCATGGGAATTTGGAATTCACAAGCAGTCCCCACCCGCAGGTATAGCACATGAGATTTGATTATTTGTTATTGCTCTGTCCAATATTGACAGGGGTTTCCATTCTAACCTTTTATTTGAAGTAGTATAGAATGTTAACATCATGATTATGTTATTTTTTCTCTTCAAGTTAGATGTGCCATCCATTTTAGTTTTTGCTGCTGCTCATAAGTAATATGGTTTCTATTATTTGGTACAGTTCTCTGTTTCTGGTTTTGTAGTGCCAATGTTCCAAGAAGAATGGTCTTTGCCAAAACGCACAGGTTTGACTCACTCAAAGTTTATTTAATGGTTGATCTTTCTAAGATCAATCATTAAAAATAACTGAGTGAGTCTTTGAATGGTTGTTTGTAGCTGACAGTTAAGATATTTCTTAAAAGTTTGGTGCTATGCATGACATCCATATGAAAGTCTTGAACATGACTGGAGTTTTCAGGATAATGTTTTAGTTAACATTAGGAAGAAGCATACCATATTTGTGCTGGAGCTATGACTGTGTTCAAAAGTATTTTATGTGACGTTGCAGGCAATGTATTAAATTCAACTTCTTTCACACATACAAAATACCACAAGCCTATCATTATTTCTATGCTAAATTTTCAGATGAGCTACACCACTTAGTTCCACTAGTCCAGATTTTCACAGCTTGAACCCAACATACCACTGAAAAATGTGACTTTTTCTCCTTCTTGCAAGGATAAGAGAGACTATTCCTTCTCTTTCTGGTAGGCTGCTTATATATCTTGTCATTCATTTGTCCCAAATGTGCACATCCTAAGTGCAGCTGGTTGACCACCTATTTACATGTCAGGAGCAGCCACTGATATGCTGTGAGTCGTGAATCTGCAGCTCATGACTAAAGAGTTGACCTTCCAGATCAAGCCACTTGGCTTTGGGATCTTCTGGTGTGACACTGATACAAAGTCTATTTTGGTATTGTAGTCCAATATATATTGAGGGCATCACAAATCAACTCCTCTTTAGAACAAAGTTTCCTTAGTGGCATTAAATTTAATTCATAACATTTGGTCTGAATGACAACCTGCAAATTCCTAACTAGTCAGCTGCCTTCACTTTTGCACAAAAAATCTTTTGGAAAAGATAAGAATATGTCTCTCCAGTAAGTTAAATAGATGAGTCTCTTTAATCTTACATGGCATCAAGGCTAGAAGAAGGATGACTAATTTGAGACACATGGAAAAATTAATAGGCAATCATTCTATTTTTCTCAAGATGCCATAACAATTCACAGATAATAATGAGAAAGGGGTCTGTGTAGAGGCAAGATTATCTATATCTGGAAGGGTTGTTTTAATTTAGCAGTATATCAACTTCTATGGGTTATTTAATGCCGAAAACTAAATGCTGGAAATTATTTTTTTTCTTTTTTGCGATAATAACGGTTTTAGTGATACTATTCTTACTAATTAACACATAGCCGTGGGGAGAATATGTGGATTCATGCCTTTCCTAACGGTATTTGAGCATAAGTGAATATAATGAATACAACTGGAATTGGAGCTCAGCTCTCCAATTAATTCCAGGCTATTATCCATTAAACCACCCACACATCCAATCTTACAGCACCTGACATTAATTAATTCCAGGCTATTATCCATTAAACCACCCACACATCCAATCTTACAGCACCTGACATTAATTAATTCCAGGCTATTATCCATTAAACCACCCACATCCAATCTTACAGCACCTGACATTAATTAATTCCAGGCTATTATCCATTAAACCACCCACACATCCAATCTTACAGCACCTGACATTAATTAATTCCAGGCTATTATCCATTAAACCACCCACACATCCAATCTTACAGCACCTGACATTAATTAATTCAGGCTATTATCCATTAAACCACCCACACATCCATCTTACAGCACCTGACATTAATTAATTCCAGGCTATTATCCATTAAACCACCCACACATCCAATCTTACAGCACCTGACATTAATTAATTCCAGGCTATTATCCATTAAACCACCCACACATCCAATCTTACAGCACCTGACATTAATTAATTCCAGGCTATTATCCATTAAACCACCCACACATCCAATCTTACAGCACCTGACATTAATTAATTCCAGGCTATTATCCATTAAACCACCCACACATCCAATCTTACAGCACCTGACATTAATTAATTCCAGGCTATTATCCATTAAACCACCCACACATCCAATCTTAATTAATTCTTATCATTAAACCACCCACACATCCAATCTTACAGCACCTGACATTAATTAATTCCAGGCTATTATCCATTAAAACCACCCACACATCCAATCTTACACCTGACATTACCTGACATTAATTAATTCAGGCTATTATCCATTAAACCACCCTACACATCCAATCTTCTTACAGCACCTGACATTAATTAATTCCAGGCTATTATCCATTAAACCACCCACCTGACATCCAATCTTATCCAGCACCTGACATTAATTAATTCCAGGCTATTATCCATTAAACCACCCACACATCCATTAAACCACATTAATTAATTCCAGGCTATTATCCATTAAACCACCCACATCCAATTATCTTACAGCACCTGACATTAATTAATTCCAGGCTATTATCCATTAAACCACCCACATCCAATCTTACAGCACCTGACATTAATTAATTCCCAGGCTATCCATTAAACCACCCACACATCCAATCTTACAGCACCTGACATTAATTAATTCCAGGCTAGCACCTGACATTAATTAATTCCAGGCTATTATCCATTAAACCACCCACACATCCAATCTTACAGCACCTACATTAATTAATTTCACCCATTAAACCACCCACACATCCAATCTTGACATTAATTAATTCCAGGCTATTATCCATTAAACCACCCACACATCCAATCTTACAGCACCTGACATTAATTAATTCCAGGCTATTATCCATTAAACCACCCACACATCCAATCTTACAGCACCTGACATTAATTAATTCCATTATCCATTAAACCACCCACACATCCATCTTACAGCACCTGACATTAACTAATTCCAGGCTATTATCCATTAAACCACCCACACATCCAATCTTACAGCACCTGACATTAATTAATTCCAGGCTATTATCCATTAAACCACCCACACATCCAATCTTACAGCACCTGACATTAATTAATTCCAGGCTATTATCCATTAAACCACCCACACATCCAATCTTACAACCTGACATTAATTAATTCCAGGCTATTATCCATTAAACCACCCACACATCCAATCTTACAGCACCTGACATTAATTAATTCCAGGCTATTATCCATTAAACCACCCATCCAATTACAGCACCTGACAATTAATTAGGCTATTATCCATTAAACCACCCACACATCCAATCTTACAGCACCTGACATTAATTAATTCCAGGCTATTATCCATTAAACCACCCACACATCCAATCTTACAGCACCTGACATTAATTAATTCCAGGCTATTATCCATTAAACCACCCACACATCCAATTAAACCTGACATTAATTAATTCCAGGCTATTATCCATCCACCCACACATCCAATCTTACAGCACCTGACATTAATTAATTCCAGGCTATTATCCATTAAACCACCCACATCCAATCTTACAGCACCTGACATTAATTAATTCCAGGCTATTATCCATTAAACCACCCACACATCCAATCTTACAGCACCTGACATTAATTAATTCCAGGCTATTATCCATTAAACCACCCACACATCCAATCTTACAGCACCTGACATTAATTAATTCCAGGCTATTATCCATTAAACCACCCACATCCAATCTTACACCTGACATTAATTAATTCCAGGCTATTATCCATTAAACCACCCACATCCAATCTTTACAGCACCTGACATTAATTAATTCCAGGCTACATCCATCCACCCACACATCCAATACAGCACC